AATTTTTGTTGTTGTTGTTCTTTGGGTCCTGGACTTGAATCACAGGGCTGGTCCTATGGAATCCAGCTGCCTCATCCAGCAGGTCATGGCCTGGTCCAATAACTATTTTTTTTTTAAAGAATTATTTCATTTAAATGTATTTCTTTATTTTTAAATTTGATCAGGGAGGGACAGAATGAGAGAGAGAAAGAGAAAGTGAGAAACCAAGCTGCCAGGTCTGGGACTCGAACCACAGTCAGCCATGTGGGGGACTAACCACCACATCACTTGCCAGCCACAATCCAATAACTACTTTTTTTTTTTTTTTACTTTTATCTACATTTATTTTATTCTGACTTTATTCCTGTGCCATACGTTTTTACTTCTTCAGTTTTTTCTGGGATATCTTTTTCTTCTGTGCAACTTCCTCTTCTGGTTTAGGAACAACTTGCTCCTTTTCAGTGAGGATCATCTAGATGCGGCGGCGGGAGCTCATGTGTGGGTTACTCCGTCCATGAGCTCTGTACGAACGACGGCACGTCTGGGGCGCCTTGTTCACCTGAATGTGCTCAATGACCAGAGAATCTACATCTAACCCCTGAAGTTCAGCATTCCTCTCTGCATTTTTAAGCATGTGCAGCAAAAACCCAGCACTCTTTTTGGGCCACTGACCTTGTGTCCAGCCCCACTGTTTGGCCTGGGCACATCTACCAACTCCACCATTGTAACGACGGAATGGCACACACTGCTTCTGTAAAGTGATGTCCTTCAGGTACTTAGTGGCTTTTCAGATATGCAAACCCTTGATGGCCTGGGCGGTTTCAGGACTGTTCTTAATGTGAACATGAAGATTTGAACCTCTTGAATTGGCATGACTTTGTGGGGTTCTCTGGGTCAAGTGAATAGCCAACCGTTTTTTGGGGGTTTTTTTGAGAGATTTTCATTGTAGGGCGTGTGCGCTCGCCAGACAGACAGAGAGAGACATAGAGACAGAAAGCGAGAAATCACCCCCCCAGGGGGGATGGTCACGCCGCAATCCCTTTTCCTCCATTCTTGTCTTGGGATCTTGGGCACGCACGCACACGTGCCCGGCATGAGTTTTAAGCCACCGGGTCCGGGACACGAACCACGGTCGACTATGTGGGAGTCCAGCGACATAGCCATTACGCTAACTGCTGGTTCCCAATAGCTAACCGTTTTTGAAGATCACCTCAGGCTGCTTACAAGAAAAGGAAGAGTGGTGGCTCCTGGGAGAATTCCAGTAACTATTTTTAAAGGGACAGATATTTGGCAGTTTCCTTGGACCTTGACTAATTTTTATTATTACTTAGAGAGTTTTTTGCTAGAAAGGCTGAAAGTGATAAATCAGCCCCCAGGTGGGAATGGCCACACCACAGTCCCTTATCCTCCATTCTCCTCTCAGGATTTTTGGCATGCATGCATGCTCCCAGCATGAATTTTAAGCTGCAGGTCCAAGACTCGAACCGCAGTCGGCCATATGGGAATCCAGCCATGTAACCATTATACCTTCTGCTGGTCTCAGATTTTAACTAATTATTAACGTAGGTAAAACTTATTATACTTTAAAAGAATTATTTAACTTTATTTGTTCATTTATTTATTTTTAATTTGACCAGAGAGAGATGAGAGAGAGAGAGAGAGAGAGAGAAGGTGAGAAAGCAAGCCACCAGGTCCAGGACTCAAACTGTGGTTGGCCATGTGGGAGTGTCCAGTGCCTTAACCACCATGCCACCCACTGGACCCCAGTAGAAATTATTTTTAAAGGGGCAGCGTTTGGCAGTTTTCTTAGATTTTAAATAATTATTAACATAAGTAGGAATTATTTTGAAAGGAACAGGCATTTGGGGGTTTTCTTAGATTTTGACTAATTTTTTAAAATTTATTCATTTTCTACATTAATTCACTATACACCATCACAACACACAAATGAATTTTCCATCCAAAATACACTGTGCATTGGCTCAATCAAGCACATCAACATACATGTTCTCAGCAAATAATTTTCCAATTCTTATGTCCTGCATACCTTGCCTTTTGTTTTGCCATCCCTGATTCCCCATCCC